GTAGGGGAAGAACAAAAAGGGAAAAGAAAAAAATGTGAGAGAATGAAAAGATGAAAATAAAGTGTTTGTAGATGGGGAGGGGAGGAGGGGGTGAAGGGAGGGCAGAGGTAAGGGGAAAAAATGAGAATCAAGACTTGCCATGTAAAGGTACATGATCCCAACAATGAATGTAACTGTACTGTATCCCTAAAATGTACCAATAAACTCAATAAAATTAAATTAAAAAAAAAAAAGAAAAAGGTATGGCCAGTGCTGAAGATAAGACAGGTGCAGCTGAGGAAGGGCAGACTGACCTCAGTCTTCAGGAGACACACGAGTCCTCTCCTAGGCCGCCTTACTGACTAATGTACCAGGGCAAGCCAGATAAAGAGGGCAAGCTATTACTGTACTGTATCCCTAAAATGTACCAATAAACTCAATAAAATTAAATTAAAAAAAAAAAAGAACAAGGTATGGCCAGTGCTGAAGATAAGACAGGTGCAGCTGAGGAAGGGCAGACTGACCTCAGTCTTCAGGAGACACACGAGTCCTCTCCTAGGCCGCCTTACTGACTAATGTACCAGGGCAAGCCAGATAATGAGAGGGCAAGCTCTCAAGCCATATTTAAGGAAAAGTCTCAAAGAAGCTAGTGGGAAACACCAAGGAGAAGCTAACTGGCTAATAACCATGAAAATGGATCTCAGATTTGTGTGATCAGAATCATACTGGTGCCTGCTAAACACCAGTGGCTAGGACCTCTCCCCAGAGTGTCTGTGTCTACAGGAGTGGGGCACACTCAAGAATCTGTACTTCTAACAAGTTTCCCACTGACACTGATCCTGCTGACCAGCTGACCACACTGTGAAAACTACTACTGTTGAGTGCCTGTGCCCTAAACATCCCAAAGCCAGGTCATCCCCTGGCTCTGGCTGTGATATTGCCCGGTGAGGTTGGGGGGGGGGACTCTTTTCATCATTGCGAGTACTTCCTCTCTGTTGACCTGGGTCTAGCCTCAGCCCCCTCTCCCGCTGTTGTGTATACTTCCTCAGCCTTCCTTATCTTCTAGGTGCAAATTACAGAAGGAATGGATCAGTCCCAACTATGAGAACTGGGGTCCAGGGCCCTTTGAGGCCAGGATGGAAATCTCCCAAAGTACACTGTGTAACATGGACTTTGCCTGTCGTCAGTCTATTCTGTCTACTGTATCAAAATACATTAGATGGCCTAATTTATAAACAGAAGCTTTTTGTTCACAGTTCTTTAGTCTGGGAAGCCCAAGATCAAGGCCCCAGTAGATGTGGAGTCTTATGAAGGCCTATTTCTTATATAGGACACCTTCTGAGTTTTTACATGGCAGAAGGGAAAAGCATCTCCCCTGAGCCTTCTTACAAAGCCACTAATCCCACCTCTTAATGCTATTGCCATTGGGGAAAGGTTTCCAGAATGAATTTGGAAGACAAAAGCATTCAGTTCACAGCACCTGCAGACTCAGAAGTGCTCCACGCACTTTCGAGCTCCACAACATGAATGTTGCATCTCTCCCACCGCATCCTTGCTCCCCTTCTCTTTGTCCTTGAGAATTCATTTATTATTATTATTATTATTATTACTATTATTATTATATTGTGTTTTAGTGTGCACATGGTCAATCTTTTTGAAAAAGTTCCAGTTTGATGACTTTCTTTAATTAAGTGTATTCTGCAATCTTCACATGGAAAGAGATAACTGATTGCTGGACCCTGGGGGAAAAGGGCAGGAACAGGGCAGACAGAGGAGGGGAACAAAGTCATATCTAGTGTCCAGAGTATATGTTTTTAGAAATTAGCCACAGAGTCCAGGCTGGGGATGGAATGATGGTACAAGAAATCATGGTACAGTTTTGTAGAGTGCCTTAGCAGGGGGCTATATTATACCAGCACAGCCTGTGACCTTGGCCAAGCCCTTATCTCCTGAGGCTGGGAATAATACAGGATTATCACACTAGGTCCACAGATAGGCAAAGGTTAAACAAGAGGCTACATACAAAGGCACTGAACACAATTTCTGGTGCTTACTGCATGCTTTAACTGGTAATCTGTGTGAATTCTGATAGCCTGAGAGGACTTGGAAAAACTGAGAGGGAAATTTATTTTGAGGCCAAAGGCAATGATACTTAGCAGGGGAGAAATGGGATAGAGTGAGAGTATCATTCACCTCTCCAAGCTCCCAGGCAGGGTGCTGGGCCCTAGGTAAGACCCAGGCTCCTGGCCCACACTCTCCAGGAGAAACCCCAACCCTAAGAAAGAGACCCTCACAGATGATGTGGCGTGGAGTATGTGCCCTGAATGTGTCCAGGCACCTGAGGACATCTCTAGGGAAGGAAAGGAAGGTGCTCTTAGAGGTGAGTGAGGGTAAAGGAAACTGCAGGGTAGAGGGAGCAAGTGGCCAATGTCACCAGACAGCTATGGGGGCTGTGTGTGGCTTGGACAGGAAATGGGCCACTTTCCAGGGAGGGACAGAGGGCATCTCAGGATTGGTGGTGTCTTTCAAAGTTCATTTATCACCTTATGCTAGAACGGGGTGGGCACAACTGAGGCTGGGTCAGAGCCAACACGGCTATCTGAGGGACCTTGGAATAACAAGATAAGAAAGGATTTGGATACACAGGATACTCCCAGAGTCCCCACGGTGGCTGATGATGAAAAGGAAGGTGAAAGAAGCCAAACAGATACTGTGCTATGCAGCCAGTGTGAACAAGAGGACCATTCCTTACAACCTCCTAAATGAGGTGAGAGACTTCAGGCCAGGAATGGGGCCAGGACCATGGCTGTGGGAAGCCTCTTCCCTTACCCTTCCATTTGGACCTCAGTCACAGGGTAGCCAAGCCCATCGCCCAAGGAGACTGATTAGAGCAAAATTACACCCTGCCAGGGCCAGGCAGGAGACAAGCTGGCCCTGTTGGGAGTGGGCTGAGTTTGCAGGTCTAGTGAGGAAGGGAACAAGCTGGGGTCTCGGCCCTGCCTCTGACTGGTCCTGCTTGTGCTGTAGCTGCAGCTGCCTGGAAAGATGATGACTGAGGCATCTGTCCTGGATTTTTATTACAACAGGCACCTCCGCAAAGTGATCCTGGTGGTGGGCTGTATATGGTGAGTATCCCGGGCTGGTGGGCAGGCCATGAATTTGGGAGGGAATGGGAGTAGGCAGCCTGCAAGAGGAGCAAGACCTCGGAATACATCACACAGGTCTCTGTACTTCTGTCCCTCCCTGCCCCTCTTTGTCTCTGTCTTTATTCCTGGTTGTGTACGTGCATGTGTGTGTCCCCTGACTTTATTCCAGGTTTACTGTCAGTTATACCTATTTTACACTGACCTTTAAGATGAGAGACTTTGGAGTGAACGTTCACTTCAGGCAGGCCGTCTCTGGAATCATGAAGGTACCTGTCCAGCTGTGCTGCATCGTAATCTTTGAGCACAAAGGGAGGAAGTGGAGCCTGATTGTGACTCTCACCCAAACCATCATCTTGTGCTGTCTCCTTTTGATCTTCCAAGGTACAAGCCTCCCTGCTTCCTTACATACCTCTTCCTTACATACCCTGAACTAGGGCCCCTGAGCTGACCCCCTGCATACCCTGAGAAAGCCACAGCTCTTCAGGAGCAGGTGTCAAGTGGGGAACCCCAAGACATGCTCCCTAACCCCCCAGAAGTCTTAGAGCAGAGGTCATGCTGTCCAAGTGAGCTGTCATTGTGTGGGAGGGAAGGCAGCCTTCTTCCCTCTCATTCCAACCCACATCATAAGTAGATCTGGTAGTTACATGTGAAATATTCCTCTCTCTACTACCCTCGGCCCTGCCTGTCACCTGCAGCCCCTCTGAGAAGTGACTGTGGTTAGAAATAATCTATTTATTGAAAGCTGGGTGTGTGAAATACTAAAAGAGCAAGAATAGCTCTTGATCAGAGGCCTCTTCTTATTGGGGGCTCAGTGCCCAGACCCTGGGGCTCAGCTCTAGGAAAGGAGGAAGGCAAGGGCTGGAAATATCTCCAGCATTTCAAAGAGCCCAAAACAAGAACACACAGCAGATCTCATGAAATTGGAGCACACAGGGATCCTGTGTCAGCATACACTGCTTAGAAGTGCTCAGCACTATCTCATTCAGTGACTGGGGCTGAGGCAGATGGCCGATAAAAGAGGAGCTGCCAACCTCAGCAGACAGTGAGCAAAAGCTAAACTCCCAGTCACTCCAGAGTCCTCTGTTCCTCTGTCAGATTGTTCATCCAGCTGCCCAGAGGCAGGTATCCTGGAGTGTTTAGGACCAGTCCCTGCAGCGCAGAGCCCAGAGATCAAACACTTCCTAGCCAGGTCCCCTGCACAGATCGGGCATGTGGTGACTCAGCTCAGCATGGTTGACAGTGGCCTGAGAGGCCTTTGGGCAACTTAGCAGTAGACCCAGTGGGCCAAACCCACTCCCCCCAGCCGAGCCTCCCACTGCAAAGGTACTAAATGTCAGCCTGATTGGGTCTCCTCTTACTGAATGCCTGAGTCTGCTGGCCAGTGGACCAGGTAGCAGAGATGTTTTCTGTAAGCAAATGAGGAAGTGCTGATGGGCCCCAAAGACAGGATAGCCCCAGACTTGGGGTTGGGGGGCTCTCTTGTCTAGATACAGAGCTGAAATCCACCACAATGTTGATGTCCGTGCTTGGAGAGTGCAGCCTGACTACAACTTTCACTGTCCTGTTCATCTACACAGCTGAGCTCCTTCCCACTGTCCTCAGGTATGGGGCCTGGTGGGTGATGAGGCCATGGGGCTGTGGGGATGGGGCAAGCTACAACTGAGCTTTCACCTGGTAACAAGCATTGTGATGAACAGTTTATATGGAATACGTCACTTAAGCCTCACCAAAAAAACTCCCAGACACCATCATTAATCCTATTCCAGCCAAAAAGTCAAAGCTATAAAGGCACTTATTCAACATTATACATAGCAAGTGGTGGAACTGGGATTTGGACCAGGGTAGTCTGAAGCCAGTTCCTTCCTTCACTCACTGCCTAGAATACATGGGCCACCGGAACCCTCAGTCCCTCCCACAGGAGCCCTTGTTGATGGCAGCCACAGCCATATCTTGCTACACACCCAACATCAATGGCTGTGTCATCTCCCCACACAACACTGCGTGGTGCTTGCCTCTCCCACTATTGACACCCAGGAAAGAAATCCAGAAGAAATTACTACCTACTTTGAATCAATGGAGAGCTAAATTCTTCAAGGTCACTCAGTGATCCAGGATAAGGAGCTAGAATAAAAGGATTTGGGGTTTCAGATGGCTTCTCCCCAGGGCCTATTGGGACTCTGCCTGAGAAGCCTTCCAGACCAACTCTCACCTCCACTTTCAGGGCCACAGGGCTGGGGCTGGTGATTCTGGCCTCATCAGGTGGAGTCATGTCATGTGAGACAATCATCTACCAGATCCTGTCCCTCCAGCCCATCGTGCTCTGCTGCATCTTATCCTGTGTGGCCTTGTACTTCTCCTTCTTGCTGCCAGAAACACAAGATCAGCCCCTCTCAGATAGTCTGGAATACTTCTCAAAGGCTAGGTGGGTGTATGATGCCCCTTCATCTCAAGCTTTTGATTTTGACAGTATGTTAGGCATTGTCCATCCCTGCCTCCCTACCAAGAGGGTGTGTGACATGAGAGCCAACCTGTGTCCCCAGCATTCACCTCAGCTCTTCTGGATGCTGCTACTCCCCTAAGTCCGGTCCAGTCTCTGCCTACTACTACTCTGCTTGGCTCTCCTGCTGCAGCCTCGGGCAAGTCCTTTCTCCTCCCAGCCCAATCTGCTGGTCTGGACTGGTGTGCTACCCTTGGAGATGTCCTCCAGTGGCACTTCAGAAGTCCCCTCAAGTCTCTCTTACCTCCTAGGTAAAAGGGACTGGCTTGAAATTGGTTCTCTGAATACCTCTAATTTCCTCTCTGAACTCCTTATTCCTTATAAAGGACTCCAACTTCCTTATAAAGGACTTTGGCCTTCAAGCCCCAGCACACCAAAACCCCATTTGGGAACTGGGCTCCATCTAGTTCCTCTATTGGCACTTCTGATCTCCTAAGTGTCCCCTGGAGAAGACTCGTTGTGATTAGAATAACCACACCTTGGGATCTGGGGTGACCCCAGCATTGTCTCCCCAGAGCTGAGAGGATCTAAGTGCCATTAGGGCCAGGAGTTGCCTAAAGTCCTACAATGCTTTCTGCTCTGAACCTCAGGTGTGACTGCCTCTGGCTTTCCTGTGCCTCATTTCTGCTCTCCTCCTTGCTCTCCTTCAATTTCATTGAAATTATCCATGCTGGACACTGGGCTAGGGCTGGGAAATCAGAGGTCATGGGTCCCCACTTTTGAGCTAGCCATAGTTATGAGGAGACAGACATGCAAACAGTTATTGCTATGGCCTCTGACAATGTGATACACAGTAACTGTAGCAGACAAAGAATAGAAGAACCTTAGTTTGGGAAGTTGGGAAAAAGTGTCATAAATGAAATGACTTTTGAGTAGGACTTTGAAGGATGAACAGGAATTTGTCTCATTGTAGAGAGTGGAAGTACAAGGCGGTACAGTTTGAAAATGTGGTAATGAAGAACACAGGCTCTGGAGTCAGAGTCTGGATTTCTAGATTTCTATTTCTGCGCCACCACTTCCTAGTGCGTGTGCTAGAAAGACCTAATACCTCTGAAGCCCAGTTCCTTCATTTGCAAAATGGAATAACACAGTAATAATAATAACCAACATTTTTTGAGTTTAACATGTGTCAAGCCTGTTCCTATACATGTCTTCCCTTACTTTGTCCTCAAACCAATCAAATGCAAAGTAAGGTTTCTCCCTATTACCATTTTACAGATAAGAAAAATGAGGCACAAAGAGATAAAGACATGTACTCCAGCCTTCTTGTCCCATAGATTTTTCGAGAGTATTAAACCCACATCAAGTGTTGCCATAGGGTCCAGCTGTGGCAGGAACTGAGTAAGTGCTAGTGCTAAAGGTGGTAAACCAAGTTCCAAAGTCACAGAAAATAGATGGGTCTGACTGGGGTTGGGAGATGGTACCTGCCGGCTCTTGGAGGTGAGGGTCCCTCTTAGGCCCATGGTGAAGCTCACCTGGGATCCTATAGATGCAAAAGAGCTCATCTCTTGGGAATGCAGCCCCATTGATGGCTTCTTTCAGCCTCCAGAAAGAGACGACCCAGAACTTTGAAGACACTTTTGGGAAAAGGAACAGTGATATCATGGAGATGATGATGGCGGAGGACTCAGCATCTGATGATGTGTCTGAGGAAGCAGCAAAGAACACAGTTCTCAATGCTAACATTCTGAGGTTGGATGCAGACATTTCCTCCACCCCGGCTGTGGAGCCATCTGCACCTGAGGAAGCTCATGGTCAGGCTCCCTGAGGGCCCGGCGCCCAGACCCGCTTGGGTTGGAGTTGAGCGACTGGATACATTTATGAATTCCAGGCCCAGTCCATGAGGCTGGCAGGGTCAGTCCTGCTCTGAAGCAAGCCCTCAAGATCCAAAAATGGTCCCTCTCATGATACTAATCTGTGGTTCATTCTAATAAAGGGATCATGATGGCTTTAAAATGGCTTGGTCTAGATTGGAAGTGTCAGTAGAACCCAGAGGCCCTGTCCTGGAAGAAAGGGGTCAGAGAGGCTCCCCAGGCCCTTTAATGTCTTTGGCTAAACTTTCATAGAGAGTGACATTTGTCCCACTGCACAGACTTGTTCACTGTTTTCTTTTTATGCTTCCAAATAAGCATGACCTTGAGAGTTACCCTTCTCAATCCTCATTCTGGCGGATGCTTTATTCCTGGCTCCTGCCTAGTTGGCTTCTGACCTCCAGCACCCCAAGTATAAGTCTCCACACCCAAGCTTACAGTCCTTACTGTCCTGGATGAGTCTGCTTTTCCAATCCAGCATGAGGCTTCCCTAGGCAGGGCCAAGACTCCACTGATAGCCAGACTGGGAAAACTTCATGTCAGGCTCTCTCTACATGGATGAGGAGTTCCCAAGGCCAAAGCCTGCCTTATCCTCTCTACTCTCTCCCAGTTTGTTGGAAGATCATGATCTTAAAAGGAGTAGGTTCTGTCTAAATCCTACGAGCTTCTCAGAGGAGGAGGGCAGAAAACTCTGTCAGTTTTCAGACAGCCAGAACAGCAAGGCCCTCTGATCTCACATTCTTATCATACAGATATCATAGTATAATACTGAACATTAAACTGTATCAGTCAGTGCTTACTAGAGAAATAGATTTAATGAAGATATACAAATATATAAGAATTTACAAGATTGGCTTATAATGGCCACCCTGAGAGTCAGGTATGGAAGAGGGCAAAAGGTTTTTCTGCAAGCTGGAGATTGAAGGGATTCAGTAGAAAGCCTGGAGCCCACTGTAGTGTCCTGTGCAAGTCCAAATCAGGAGACCAAAGGGTCTTCCATGGAAGACTGAAGAGTCCGTGCTGAAGGCTAAAGGTTGGCGATGGAAGCCAGGAAATAATGTCCAAGGTTAAGATAAAGACTGGAGCTCCTTGAAAGAAATAGAAACAAGCCTTCTTTCTTCATTTCACTTTTATACCATTCTGGCAACAATTCTCTCTAGGGTAGGTTTTCCACATCCAGAACTATGTTGGTCCAATTTAGTTGGGCCCTTCTTTGGAGGGTGGGTACTGGGGATCAAACTTGGGACCTTGCTCTTGGTGAGGCAGACGGAGGCACCACTGAGCTAAATCCCCCGCCCCAGTTGGACATTTCTTACTCAAGTTGATATAATCAGTTAACTATCACAAAACCCAAAACATATGAAATTACATACTGGTAATAAATTCTGTCCCCCATAAACTTGATATAATAGGTAATATGAAACATGTCACTAGGGTTTTCCTGGGTGCAAAGAGATAAATAACCCTGTAACTTGTGGTGGTCCTCACAGATGCCTATGAATTCTGGGGCCCTTTTCCTTGGTCCCTGGTCACTCACATGGAAAGCCTAGCTAATCTGCATCTTTGAGCTGCTCATATTTCTACCACTTCCTTGGCCTTAGGCTAAATGTGGGACCCAGCTCCTTGTCTAGGTTGTTCCCTTACATAGGAGGCTACTCACAAAGGGCATAAGCTTCCGATGCAGGACTGCCTTGGTGACTGTGAAGCATCTCACAACTGGGTAGAAAATGCACCCCCAAAATAGGTAAAAAATTCAGCCCCATAACAGCAAGCCCCAAGTCCACTGATAAATGTTAAAAACCCAAGAACCCTGATAAGTAGGTCTTGGCAGTTGCAAATATTAAACCAATTCATACCAAGATTCCAACAATATATGACTTGGCCCAGGGGTTTACCTCAGTGGTTCCGCTGCCTGCCTACCTCGAAAGCACAAGGTTCTGAGTTCGATCTCCGGTACAAAAAAGCAATATGTGACTCAGAACTCCCAGGATATTATAGGGAAGATGAACCTCAATGAAAATGAACTTGTAAGCAAAAAAAAAAAAAAAAAA